CTGTATGGTTTCCAGGCAATGTTGAAGATGTGGTGCTGAGTGGCGAGTCCTGCAGTGAAGTATGTAACATAAGTATATTTTGTGTGCATCTTGTATTCATATTTATAGTAAATGGCTGATGGCACCTGATTTGTGAAGAATTAATCTGGAGTTGAATAAATTTGAAGAAAACTTGGATTTTGCATCTGTTAAATTAATGTTGCCAAAGGCATTACGCTGTATGTGTTATCTGTATGTATGTATAACTTTCAAAACCAATACCTCGTGTTAGACAAATAAACAGTCAGTATATATCAGACAAATGAGTTTGTTAAAAATTATAATGTGAATCAAATTTTCAGTGCGGAGAACACGTACAGAAACTGACGTTCAATTTCCGTCGTGGTTCCTTGCTTCCATGTTACCCTGACCATTATACTGGGTGCATAGGAGGTTGCGATCCTTATTTTCTTGATGCTTTGGACATCAGACATAGCTCAGTGAGGCTGGTTCAAGGTGAGTTACATTAACCCTCTGAAGCTAATGCTTGTCTAAAGAATATTTAAGAACTCTGTGCTGGGGGGGATCACTTTACTATTACAAAGGTCACCTAATTAATGAGAATCATAAGAAACCCACAAATACAAAATGTAGAGTAATTTATTGTTGAAGCAGGTGGTACATATAGTCACCACTGAACTCAAAAGGGTTAACCCAACTTATTGTAAAGCATTATACCACATTTTAAACTTACGGTAGAAATATAATTTGCCTATGTGAGCATATATGAAATGAAATATCTGTATAATACATGTGATACCTTCATTAAGGTGTTCTCATGTACATGCAGAATTTGTAGGCTTTGAACTTGCTTTCTGAAGTATAGTAATGTGACGTAACTACAGTTGATGGTCTTTTAGTTTTTGTGCCACGTAGCATCTTGACTGTTTACCATTGTTTCAGGGAAGCATTGTCTTCATCTTCAGAGCTGAAGTTAGGAGAGTTCTAAAATTGTGAGATTCTTTTCAGGTACTCACCCAAACAGAAATACAGGAGGACAGCTTCCAGGGGCACCAATCACAAGTACTTCAGTTGATAGCGGACTGGGAAGCTTAGACCACAGTAATGGGTCAACAGCCTACAGTAGTTCTGTTCCATCTGGTACCCCCATGGGAACCAACCAGATGAGAAATGGCAGCATGCAGGGACGTGGACGAGGAAGGGGCAATAATCGTGGAACTTCAGGCCTTTATGGAAGAGCAACACCAGCTTCAAACAATACTGTTTCAAATCACCATGAGGTAATACAGCAACGTATTGGTCTATGTGAATATAAGAGGTTGCAAAGATCACAAGCAAACATATGTACAGTGTATTTTTCTGTGACTGAAGGTAAGCGTCTTTGTCTCATCTCTCTGTTGAAGGATCTAATTGGGATATTAAATGTGAACAATGGAAGTAAATCTTCAGCTGCGTCAGGGAGTGGCAGAATACGAGGTGTGTTGGATAGTGGCAACCCACATGATAATGCTATTGTGTGCAATTGCAATGTGGATGCCATTCAATTGACAGTGAGGAAAGAGGGGCCCAATAAAGGTTGGTTTAATTACTGCAACCACAATCCTTTCCCTGTCTGTGAACTGATGTAGCCAGTAATGCAGGTTCTGGCAATGCCTGATGATCCAATCAAAACTTCTTGCTTTATGTCTTGTCCTGTACTTTTTTTAATATATTATTGTACATAGAGATTTGACAGTAGTTTTTTTATTTCTGGTTTGATATTTCAAATTTTCCCACTCTTAAAATTCAGTTTATTGTGAGCTTTTGTTGTTTAAATTTGTAATTCTGTGATTATTTCTTAACTTCTTTCTTGCTGCTCTTGTGAAATGATTCTTACTTTATACCTATTAATCCTTTTTCAATGCCCTGCTTATATATTGTGAATATGAAGTATGTGTTGAAACTAGTGACAGTTAAAAAAAATGTTTATATGTGGGATTTTCAATTTCTCCTGCCTAAGATGAACAGTATTATGTATAATAAAAAAGACTAATTTGGTATGGTGTTTTTCTCTTAATACAAAATTTATTTTCAATTGGTACTTTGCATGAGTGTCATAACATTTTTATTTATTTATTTCCCTGGAGTATTCTAAACAGTAAATGTTTATTGTTTAAATTGTAAAATGAATATTCTGGATTAGCTGAACATCAGTGAAACTGTTTGGATCAATATTGCTTTTTCTGCTGATAGCTGTATAGCATTCAGGACTCAAACTCGTGTAACAACACTCATGCAGGAAGTGTTGAATCACAACCTGAATATTTCAGGTCGTCCATTCTACAAGTGTGGGAAACCACAGGGACAGGGTTGTAACTACTTCATGTGGGCAGATGATGTGGAGAATAACCCATCTCTCATCAATCCAAGATTTGACAATTGTGGCCGAAGTAATAGCACAACATTCACCAGCAATACTTTCTCACGTCCTTCCTGGGAAATGCAAGGTAAATGCTAAGAACATTATGGGTGTTGTTATTTACTTGTGAGGCAAATTCATTATGAAAGAATACTTAGTGTTTGTCTTTACTATGTGTTCTTTGACTGATTTTTATCTGGCACATTGAAGTCTATAAAATGACTTTCAGTAAATTAAATAATTCAGTACATATGGTATTTATTGCCCCAAATCCTCGTCTGGAGCATTTTATTCCCCTTGGAATCATGACATGGTTATCCAGGTACCATACAATAATATTTAGTCTGTTTATTTTTCATAATCATTTTTTCAGCTACAAGTGGTCCTGGAGATGATGGTGAAGTGGTCTGTCAATGTGGAATGCCAGCTAAAAGGTATAGCTGTTAATATTTTGGATATGGGGTCATCTATCAGTTTTGTTGCCTGTTTTGCATGCTTTTAAAGTTTCTTTGATAGGTATGTGATTTTTTCAGTCCCTTCAGGCATGTACTGGGATATTGGCCAAAAATATGTCACATCTGCTTCCACATCCTTCCCAATTCAACATTCACTGTCACCTGAATAAGTGCTGCATAATGTATGCAGTTGAAAAGTTGGTATTAATAAAATGAAGCTCCCATTCTGTGGACACATATACTTTTTCCTTCTTTCTGCTCCCCTTTGGGTTGCTAAACAAGATTGAAGCTCATGACTGCCAGTTCTAGAAATAGTAATAGTAGTAAGTTGCTGCTCAAACTGTGGGGTCATCTTCCACATACTTTCATCCAAATAGTTCTTCTGAGTTTAGAATCATCAGCTGCCAATGCTCTCTGGTTACGTTTTGGCAGCAGATGATGATCACCAGAACTTATTTTGCTCAGCCACAATTATGCATGCACTGCTTTCTAATTTTGAATACAGATATCAGATTTAGAATTATTACAATTTGGTAATGCTGATAAGGCAGGTAGTTGATTAAGGAAAATTTAATGTAAGTTATTTAATAAGTGACACTGGTTAGGGTCTTGGAATCCACACTGTAGTTTTTGCATCAAAAGGGTAAGGGTTATTTTTCTGTTAATTAGTAGAATGTTTTGCTACTTGTTACTAATTTTTATTTTGTGCTGTAAGAGGGGACTTTGAAAGATTGGAAGCAACTTATTTCTGTATTTTATTACTATAGAAAACATTCTACCTTAATTCCTAAATAAACTATGCGTACTGCCATTTGCTTTTAGGTTAACTGTACAGAAAGATGGTCCAAACAAAGGACGTCAGTTTTATGCATGCCAAAAACCACAGCATGAACGTTGTAATTTCTTCAAATGGGCAGATGATACTATACCTGGTGATGATGGAAGATGGGATGACACCACCTCAGGTTCAACATCTAGGGGACAGGGTGCAGGTAGGAATTGTCTATTTTAAATGAAAAATCTGTTTTGTTGATTGAAAAATTGTTTATTACTTATGTTATTTTCTGAATAAACAGTACAGTTGTCCAATGAGTGATATTTCTGCGCAACTGTTGAATTATGCAAATGATTCTTCTTCCATAAAACAGTGGAATTATCAGCTAAGTTTTCAATACCATGGTTTACATTTTTTGGGCCCATCCATAGCTTCATATAAATAATTAGCTGTTTTGTCAAACTTTATGTTTCTTAGTTTGGTACATTAACATACTCATTCTGTGATAAAGTTTTAGGTAACCCACATTTAAGGTTCTTCTTTTGTCTATATTGTAAAAAGTGTCATGTTTAGTTGAATGTTAAATACAGATTATTTTATATAAATGCACATATACAAAGTTTCCATGTACTGAAATTTGGCTGACATACATCACACTTTAATTTTGTGAAATACAATATTATAAATGGACAAGCCACATCTTTGCAGCTACAGCAAATTGCCTTTCCTCCTATAACACTATTATCAAACAGTTCATAAAAAATGTATGAAGCACCATAGAAAAGATACCACCAAAAGACTGATGGTGAAAATTTGATATTAAAGTGTAACATTACAATTTGTAAGATATTCGCTCAGTTTAAATGCAATAAATAACTTTTTAACAAATGAATGTTAAAGTCTAATGAAACTTGTACTAATGATATTCCAGTTTGTTAAGAAATGTGTCATAAATGTCTTCAGCATATTACATTTGTTATTTGGACATGTGATTCTAGGACGAAGGGGGTCTAAGAGGCCAGGACCAACTTCTTCAGGACCTCCCAAGAAGAGAAAGTGTAGTATATGCAAACAGGAAGGTAGTATTTTGTTTCACGTCATTCCTCTGACATTGTTCAGTATGTGGCATAAGACTTTCATAATATCTGGCTGCAGTCAAAGAAACTCAGAAGTATCTTATATAACACATTCAGCAGCAAGACATACGTACCAGAACGGATTTATTATTTTTGATATTAATTAAAAATCTCATTCATAGTATGAATTTTACTCCAAATCGCAGATCTGGCCAAAACTCTGTATGGCTAGAATTTAACTTGTACAGCCTAAAGTTAATGTACTTGTGTTTGCATGCTACAGCTGCTTAACTTTTATCAATAGGCATGTTGATACATAATTATATGCCATATTTACAGTTTGTTCCACTTTACATGTACATGTGTTGGCAATATGGTCTGTTTTATTCCTTTGGAAACAGTCTTTGATGCTCTTCTTTGCAAAGATTTTAAAACTATATGCAGTATCATTTCGACTAAAAATTGCTCTCTGTACATTGTCTTCAAAATCAGCGACTACAATTGGTCACTTATGAATAAAAGTGCACTCAAATGATTAATTGTGTTGTTGTGTATCATTATATCCTTTTGTATACAAGATATGTCTGAATGATCCTGCTTTATGTTGTAATGCTATCCTCTGTTGCAGGTCACATCAGAACAAACTGCCCAAACAAATAAAACTATTCAAGAATATATAAAACGAAGAAAAATTGTTATAAATATCAGAGGAGTTTATAGTTATTAATAAAGGACATACATAAGGCATATGTTTGAATGTAATTTTATGAGATTAAAAAGAGAGTATGTACGTGTGTGTGCGTGCTTGCGCTTGTATCCAAATTGTATATAGATCTTTTCTGTGTCTGTGACGGTGAAAAAATATGAGTGATCAATGAGCAGACATTTATTTTTATACTGGAACATATTTTGAAGTAACTGATAAAATATTTGATGAAATGCCTATCCATGTTTGTGATGAGTTGTTTTCAGGGGCCCTTCTTTGAAACCCATTTAGTAATCTGCATATGTCTGTCCACCCACCTATACATCCTTTGATTTAACTGAAAGAACTTCCTATACCTGACAAGCATAACACCATGTTTGTAACTTGATGGGTGGGGGCAACACTAATGCAGTTTGTATCAGTATTTTGGAAAACGTCTGCCTTCATTATCATGGCCTGATGTACTGAATAATGTGACTGCCAGTTGAATTTATACACACAGCCATCAGAGCCCAGTACAGATAGGAAACATTTACAGTTGTAGAAGCTGAGTGTATATATGCAGGACACTTCTTGCAGATCAGCCAGCAAGCTTCTGACAAAGTTCAGGCAAAAGAATGTGCACGTTGGACAGATGGGCCATAACATTGAGACAGAAATGTAAGTGAAATGCATTGTATATATGCTTGATCTGGTTAGGTCTGGTGGGTGAACATAGCATTGGGATACTGCTGTATTGGCTAGAATGTCAGGCTTAGTGAAAGAGGTTACATCCCAAAAACTTGGTAGAAAAATTCATTTTAAGTTCATCCTAAAACCTGACTACCAATATACTGAAACAATGGAAGGACAATAGTTTGCATTATGGATTTTCAGGCTAAGCAATACAGTAATGACATTACCTGACTTTTAAGCACATACTGCCCTGTGGACTAACTATGAGAGTAAATGATAGGAGAATTCCCCAGATAAAGAAAACGTGATTAGGAAGATTAGATGAACCAACAATTTAAAAACCAGTGTATGGTTACCAAGGACTGTGTTTAATGGATAATCTTATCGCAACTAATCGAGTTCATTCTAGTCGTAATTATCTGACTTCAAGAAGGGCATTACTTCCGTGGTTCAATGTTAATCAGTTTTATGTAAACATATTTTTGTTTGAAAGTGTGCCAAGGAGACCTATTTAAGTGAACGCTGTATTGTTTTATAACACTTTTGGTTCACTTATGGACAGAGAAACTGGGATCTTAGAACTTATTGTGGTTAACAGTCGCAGAGATGGGAAACTGATTATGAATGTAGTGTGCAAATTTCTGAAGGAAACCGCTGTGACTAATGTCAACGAACCTTGTTACAGGTCGAACTTCCGACGCCCGATTCTGAATTGTAACCGATGATGAATATAGATGGTACTGAAGTCTGAACATAAACATTATTTCCTTGTTTGGTTGTCGGACATTTGTGGGTGCTATTATCTTTGTGTGAGAGAGTTCCTTGGTATTATCTATGCCCTAGAACAATATGGCTCTTAAGTAGATTCAATATGTTCGATACTTAACCTATCTTCAAAATTGTATAAATTATTGATGAGGATTGGACATTAAGATGGCATCTCGTAGTCTCACAGAAGTTTTCGTTTTAATGCGAAATAATGCTATGCAAAGTAGACATATTTATTCTGAACAAGTAAGTGGTTAGATTGTAGTCATCTGGTTTATGTTTCTCTTTTCCGTAAAAAGTTGGTACAAGATGAATTTAAAAATATTATGAACGCGAACGGACTTTTCAGAATATTTTAAATTTACACCGCGATTGTGTTCCTCCAGTACAAATAATTAACATTGAGTATTCATATGTGTTATGTGGCCTGAATATGTATTTGTATATTCACAGCAAGTGACAGATCGGATGTCTCTGGTTGGTTCAGATATTGAATCAGGCCTAGAACTCCGCAGATCAGGAGAATCACGGATGCCACCTGCGTGGGCTGATGGGCTAGAAGAGGCTCAGTATTCACTTACTCGATTACGAGCCAAAATTCATGATCTAGATACCCTTCATACTCGACACCTCCATCGACCAACTTTAGATGATTCATCTGATGAAGAGCAACAGATTGAAGCACTTACACAAGAAATTACTAGGGTGAAACTGGTTTTTGTAGTAGCAAGAATTAATGTGATTGTTACATAAGTGACATATGATGGGTTTTGGTTTGGTTCACTATTGTGCAAAACTTATTTTGTGGGAAAGTAGACACTTTATCTAGTATTGTGCTTGCTTACACTTCTATGTCAAACATATAATTTACATGGGTGCCCACACAATATATTCAGGTTTTTAAAATGTTTTATTTTTGTAATCATGATACAGATGTTTGGTGCAGCCCACCGTCTGATCCAGCAGATACGTCATCAAAGTAGTGAGGGTGGTCGCCAAGAACAAAGACTTTCTTATAATGTTGTTTCATCATTAGCTGCAACATTACAGGAACTAACAGTCAACTTTCGAAGGTCACAGAATTCATATCTCAAAAGTAAGTTTTTTAATCTGTACAAAGTAGCCTATATGCACTTTGAATGTTCTGCATATTCTGCTCTTTCATAAATGATGGATGTATGGTGTTCCTTATCAGCTTTGCTTTTTTTAAGGTCATTCATGTACATAATCTAAAATACATTAATTTATTACTGATACAGTAGACCACTATTGCTTCTTTTGTATTTCTTTTTATTCATTAGTGTTTGTAAATGTTTATACTTATCTTATAATTACAGCATTATAATATAATACTTAAATTTAGAAATGTTTATTGATTCAATTTATGAACAAATAAATTAAACATATCAGTTACAAAAATTATCTCATAGAATGCATACAATAGTAATCATGAAATGAACAGTCACAAGACTTTTTTTTTTCAATTTCTATATTGGTACGCGGTTGAGCTCGAGTATTTGAATGTATGTGGTAACTGCCCTATCATCATATTCAGTGCCTTATAAACTTTTATTACTACAGTACTGCTAACCTGCAAATAAGTACAACTCTGATACTAAAGCATGTATTTTTGTACATTCACAGAGTTAAACTCAAGAGAGGAACGTTCAAAGCAGTATTTTAACACAGTATTGGATCAGGACTTATCACAAGGTGTTGACTGGGAAGTGGATATTGAAGCAGATAGTATTGACCACCAGTTTGGTCTGGGACCCACACCTGGTCACCTCACACAGCAGCAACTACTTTTGCTAGAAGAAGACAATACACGGATGGCAGCTCATAGAGAACACGAAGTACGACAGATAGTCAAATCTATTGTTGATCTAAATGACATTTTCAAGGACCTTGCACATATGGTTGCAGATCAGGTAAAAACTGTTTTATAGACACTTCATTCAGCATTAATAAAGTAACATACTATAATCATGCCTGTGTGTGCATGTGCGCACGCACATAAACCAGTATAGGAGGTTTTTTTGCTTGGTTTTGCTGTGGTTCTGTAGGTCATCTCTTCTTTAGACCCTATCTCGGCAGCTAGGGTATTGGATGATGATGACCAATCCAACAATTTTCATAACACAGATTCAAGTAAGCCATAAGCCACTTGATGATCAAAATGTGGAAGCACCCCATTGTGCTGTAAGAGGATCCTGTGCCTTGTCTCCAGAGGCACATCCTTCATTATGGATGCTGCTTACATAATAGGATGACCCCAAAATGATTTAGTGAGCAGAAATCTCTTGTTTTGAATAAACCATAGTGAACATTTTGAATAGTTATTAGATGTGTCTCATGAAATGTAGCAATAAATTCATCTGACACTCTTGTTTATTCTTCATACCTTCAAACCATCATAGCCCTGCAATGGTTGGAAATATGATCAGTGTTGTGTTACCATTTTTTACTTGAAATTATATATTGATTTAACCCCTCCCCCACCTTCGCCATTTTATTGCAGAACAGTTGTGAAACATTCTATATTTAATAGTGAATGTTTAGTTACATCTCATGCTTCAAGGTAAGGTCTGCAATGTGAGGTTTGAGGCTCTCATGGTGTTGAGTATGAAGATGACTTGTGTTCTGGATTGTTGTGCTATGTAGTGTGGTAGAAGTTTACTAACATTTTAGAGGTGCTTGCTGCCTCTGAAATTCTGTGAAATTTTACCAGACTACATGATGCAACAACCCAGAAGACAGTCATCTTCATGATCTGTGATGACCTTCCCGGCCTCTGCCAACATAGGCATGGGTATGGAATCAGTTTCTGAGGCAGAAGGACCTATAGGACTATTCTGTTACTCCCAGAGTGTGATCTTGAGAATAATGGTTGGCAGAAAAAATCTATAGCTTAACATGGGCTTCAAACCATTAAGGGTGTCTGTTATTCCTCCCACAGTTTTATTTTTAGCAGAGGTAAAGACTTAAATGTTTGAACAGACATGTACACAAATTCTGACTGGGGATCAAACCCAGAACCCTTTTAATGTGTTACGTGTTACCACCACATTCCTGTTTATGGCTAATAAAAGTTTAAGTATTTTTATCACCCTTTTTTAAGTTGAATCTATTATTAAAGTATATCCATTCTGTCTCTTTTAGGGTACAATTTTGGACAGAATAGACTACAACATTGATCAATGTCAAATTCAGGTACATCAAGGCTACCAGCAGCTTCAGAAGGCCGACAGTTACCAGAAAAAAAATAGGAAGATGGTATGCATTCTTATTCTTGCATCAGTCACAGTAATTCTTCTCATACTTTTAATAATTGTTAAATCATAATTAAGTGGATGTATTAAAAACTCAGTTGCTCTCTTGAAAGAATCTTCTGTGCTTCTGTACATAATATTGTCACAATGCAAGAACAATTCGTTGATGTTACAACTTTATTCCACAATAACAAAAACTGTGTTGGATCCCCCCCCCCCCCAAAAAAAAAGAATGAATTTTAAAGTATTTACTGCTAGAGCTGGGGTTTTACATTTCTTGGAGATGTTTTATACTGTTAGCACTAGAAATTCCAGATTTAGTGTACAGTTCTTTGTAACTTAATATTGGTAGATATGAGGTTGTTTGAAGGTTTATTTACGTGACTACACATTACCAAATCACTGGTGTTTCTTCTACCTCATAGTTTCCCTCTCCTTCCCATTATTATCTGGTCCTTTAGTTATTTTCTTAGCACAATGCTAAATCATAGACAGTTGTGCAGTTGTGTTTTGATATTTTATTGGGTTCAGAGTTGATGTCTTGGCCTCGTGTTTGTTCTGTGAATCCTATGAAAGTACAGTCATGAAAGTGAAACTGGAACAGTAGCAAAAGGCACACAGCAAAAAATTCGAATGACACGAACAAAAGGCAGGCTTATCAGAGGCGAATCCAAAGTCTGTTTTGATTTTTTTTAGCACCCATAAACATGGTGTAGATTTTACTGATTAGAGTGTTCTGAATTATTATGTCAAAATACTGAAAGAGTCGTATTATCTTCTGCAGTTTACTCTCTTTTACCATAGACAAAGAAACCATTTTTAAACTATACAGAGAGTGAGACAGTTTATCATTGAAAGCTGCTGCACTTAACACCATAACCTCAAAGTCTATTGAAAGTGTAAAACTTACTTTTATTTCTCAGAAAGATCATCAAGAAGGGAAGTTGCTTTGCTGAATAGTACATAGCATTTGGAATTCATAGTGTTTTTAAAAATCATAGGTGGTACTATTCTATGTAGACTGATTGCACATGATACTCCAATTGTCAGATCACGCAAAAAGACTCCATACACAACATGGGGATTTTCTACACTCCAGGTGTCACTGTTATGACTGTTCACATAGACACTTAAAATAAAGTATGTCTCGTTAGAATATGAGACGTGGATCAACAATTTTTTCTGACTTCCAGTGACTGAAACCTCAACAGTACTGAATTTTTTTTGTTGCATTCTGTCAGTATAAGTGTTTGCATGTCTCCAATTTTGTAGACCCATAACTCTAAATAATTTTGTTGTACTATAAACTAAAACAATTGAAATGCCACATGGTAGAGCAATGTGGCACTGTGATTTTTAGGGACTATCTTCTAGTCAAGGCCAGAGACAAGCTGTGGACTCTTTAAAAAGGCAACACATAACTGTCATATATCAGATGCCTAATTTTGTATAGACTAAACTGAAGTTTTTGTGGGGGTGAAGAGGGAAAATACAAGGGGGAAAAGTACTAGGCATTTGGTAATGCCTGGTGATGTAAGTGATCCTTTAATTAACCGCTTGTTTATTGGTGATGTAATCTCACTGTCTTATTCAAGTTATAAGGAGAGATGTGCTAAATTAACTCCCATCAATGTTGGTGGTATTAAAGCATCTCGAATGAATTAGTCTGTCCATTTTGGCAGTAAATATGTCAACTTTACACCTGGCGATACACATTAATATTATATATGCACCAGACTCTTTAAAAGAACAAATGAGCTTTCAACCCTTCAGTTTCTGATCATTTTTTTACTGTGCACAAGTTGCATCTTTACTTTTTGGAAGTGAAGCCGTATTTACATCTACCATATCAGGATTACTAAAGCTATTTATTTCAGGAATTTCAGTATTGCTGATTGCTGGTACTTGTGAGCGGTAGTTAAATTTCATAATGTGAACTTTTTTCTATTCTCTAACATTAGTTTGTATTACATTATCAAACAGTAGACACACCAGAGTGCCATAAAGCAGTGGCTGCAACAGCCATGTAGAACACATTCCAATGTGGCAGATGAAAAATAAATCAGGGTGGTAGAGGGTAAGGAAAGGATGTAATATCTACTTTGTAAAATTTTCCAATGTATGTGGGCTATAAGTAAAAGTATGAGGTAGTAAGCACCTCTGAAACATAAGTCAGTTTCTACCAGACTACATGACGCAACATCACAGAAGACAGGCGCCTTCATACTTGTTGCCAAGGGAACCTGAAATATCACCATGTAAATAATGTATATAATATTTATCTGTATTATTATTGCTGTTATTAAAACACATGTTTACAATTTGTATGTTTCTTACAATTACTGTGCACTTCAAATGTGAAAGATAAGACTGCTAAATTCAAGAAAAATTTGTCAATGTGCCTAAGCATCAAACCTTGGGAGGGCATAGGATGAATGGAGGTAAAGCTTTTCCCATAAGTAACCTTGGCATTAGAGGGATATATGTGGACCTTGAAAGTGTAATTCTTGTTATAACACTTATAGCCTTTAATTTATTATTTCATTCCCCTACATTATTTTGACCTTTTTAAGTTTAAGTTTGGATTTGCTGGGTAGCTGTCCACAACTTGTGCAATCTTTCTTTCTTCTTCTTCTTTTCTTTCTCTTTTTCTTTCTTTCTTTTTTTTCCCCCTTGCTCTATTTCCTCTCCCAATTGCTCAATCTTTTAATTTTGAAGCTGTCATCCAATCGTGAGTCATGTTCGCATATTTAACAGGAAGATTTTAAACTCCTTAAAACACAAAGGGCAGTGATGAGCAACCTATGGCTGCTGTGGCCTGCTGGTTTTCATGGTATGACCCGTAAGTACATTCTTCTAATGAGAAACTCAGAATTCATCTCAATATTCTCAAAATACTCAAAGCAATATTTACATGATATTCAAATTAAGATCATTTAAATATTTAAACCCCAAAATGACTGTCATATGGCTGGTGTTTATATTTAATATTCCAATACTGAATAAGATTGGGTGACCTGGCAGCATTTACTTCAAACCCATGTTAACACTTATTCTTGATTCGCTATGTGTGACATTAATGTTGAAACTGTTTCAGCTAAATTTCAGATGGAGGTGATAGTTTTGAAGTGTGATACTGACCTGAGAAATACATTTTGACTTCTTGAATTTTACACATTCTGTTTACCTGCTGATAGGTTTCCAGTACTAATTAAACATGCATTCAAATGATGTGTCAAGTTCTTTTCAAACATGAAAGTGGTCAAGAGTAAATCTGAAAATCGATTTGATGAACAATAGGAAAGCTGCTACCAAATTGCTGCTTCACATATGTCCAAATATTGAGAACTCGGTGGCAAAGAAACAGTGACAAGCTCCTAACTTATGTTCTTCCACCCTTCAGAAATAAAACTGTAAGTCTTAAAAGTTACCTTAATATTTTTCAATGCTTTAGTAAAGTAAAGCTGTTCCACTGTATACCATGTACATGCTGGGTGTGTGTGTGTGTGTGTATTTCAGATGGAGGTGATAGTTTTGAAGTGTGATACTGACCTGAGAAATACATTTTGACTTCTTGAATTTTACACATTCTGTTTACCTGCTGATAGCTTTCCAGTACTAATTAAACATGCATTCAAATGATGTGTCAAGTTCTTTTCAAACATGAAAGTGGTCAAGAGTAAATCAAACCCCAGTCATTCAGTCCGTAGCCAGTCGCTTATACTTACTGATCTATTGCCTTAGTACTAATAATAATTTAGTATTGTTATAACTTTCCTCTGTAAAGCATAATGTAAAACTCTGTTAAAAAATCATGACTTTGACAGCACCAACTCTACCAGTCTTTTCTAATTTAGTTTATAATGTCCAAATTGTATATCTTTGCCGATTAAATTCTCTTTTTTTATTGGTATGAACAGTATAATTTAAATCTATGTAATAATATATTGTAGTTTCTCTTGATAACTTCTTCATTAGCCATCTTATTCCAAATGAAATTGTAGATGTGCTACTCATTTTATCATACTATATAGTGGTCTAGCGGTTCGAATGCTGGTCTTGTAATCCTGGGGTCTCGGGTTCGATTCCCGGCGGTGCCCGAATTTATAACTTGTGTTGGGCAAGCAAGGCCATGGTCTAGGCAACACAAGTTTTCCTCCGGGGGCTTCCCCGGATTTTCCGTGGCATCCCAACAATTACTCCATTCACACACAGAAGAAGGCAATGGCAAACCACTTCTGGATCATCTGCCAAGAACGTATATGAACAGGTCCCAGTCCGAGAAAAGGATGGAAGGATCCTGTTCATATGTACCTGTCGTCAGATAGAATATAGACATTAACCTTTCAGAAATATCTTGAGATTTCTAAGCAGTTTGTTTCATTGGCCCACTTAATGGTACCTGCACCTTGTCATGGTGGTGGGGCTTGAGTACCTCAGTGATCCCAAGAGCTATGCTGGCAGTAGCATAGCTACTGGTAGGGCCTCCCTAGCCAGATTGGTCGAGGGGGAGAGGTCAAACTAAGACAGGTACCCTGGTCCTCCAGGTTGGGGGTTGGTCGCAAGGTTAATAATCTTGCACCGTAAAAAGGAAGATGTTTCGAAACCTCGATCAAAACCTCGGACAGACGGACCTAACAGAGGACCAAATGGAAGAGGAGAATTGAGGAGGCCATGGACCGAATACGGACTGGAGAGCCATAGAAGAAGTTTGTTTCATTGGTGTGTTAGAGTGATGGGTGAATACTTATATACGTGTATGACAAAAATTAAGGCAGCAGAACAAGATTTTCTGAAGATACTGCTTTAATTCACTTTACTGTACCATACGAAAAGCTATTTTAACTCCACAGATACATTTTATTGCAAACAAAAGGATTTCATCATACATACAATTTTTAAAATCACAACCATAATTCTTAACTAAAATTATAACAATTTATTTTATTGAAACTATTGCTATATAAGAGATAAATATTTGATTTATACATATATATCATTTATTATGTTTTCTTAAAAATATGCAACCTTTATCATTCATGATTTGCAAATGATCTGCTTCAGACAGTTGTGAGGCTATCAGCAATGAATGTATTTTAGTGAAGCATTCGGATAAATACATCATCCAGTATCTGAAGTACATGGTGAAGAATCATTGTTGCTATTTCCATTAGGACTGTCCGTAGATGAACTGTTCTCCCTCTTTATGGAATGTCTCTCATCAGTGCCAGGATCTTCAACTGTCAACATAAAAGACATAGTGGAAACATTTACTGACAATGCTGAGGATTTATGAAGTTCTACACTACGGCATAAAATGTCAATCTTTCTAAAGTGCAGGGTATACTATTTAAAATTAACCAGATAACAATCGTGTACTTTGGTGCAAAAATGAAATTGGAATTAGGTCCACCCCCATGTAATACTCTCACAACCTCTCTCGTGCACTGCTCATGACAGCTGTGCAAGAGCTATACAGGTGTGTTCATGAGCAGTGTGTTAATTGTGAAACATTTAGCGGTGCATATCCAAACAAGGAAGTACCAAAAAAGACCACTAAGATTTTGTATAAATCCCCAGCCATGTATGCTATTGTTTTCAAGGAAAGTCAATTTATGTATTTCCCATTTCAAAAAATCATTACCATTCACAATTTGGGGCTTCTACATTAAACGTAGTTCTACTTCATAAGTTCACATGCTTACCATGTTGGCATTACTGATGACAGAAAATTAAACAATTAGTGTACAAAGGTAAAGGAAGTTGCTTGTACTGGCATGATATTCATATAAAGTTTCATGAAAATCAATCAATTGGTTCACAAACCTTTCAAGTGTGCACATATATAATGAGGATACTATGATAAATGCTTACATTCTTCATTAACATCTTCACCACTTTTATCCCTGGAATAATGTGATTCTTTTAATGAGCCTGTTCTTGAATGATCAGATGTAAGATTTGTTGCAGAAACTGCAACTGTTTCAAAAGTTTGTCTTGTTTTGCTGGGACCTGCTTTGGCTTTGGTTTCAGCATCATCATTATCATCTTCCTCTACATTGTGACTTCTCTCCATCACAGCTGCAATAATGCAAATCACATATTTCAAATTAATATTTTTGTTTGTTGTGGTTTAAAACACTTACACACACTTATGAAGTAAGTCTGACTTCTGTTGCAACTTTCAGCTGCCTACCACACATAGAACACATGAATGTGAATTTGAAGTTCTATATTGTAACACCTCACAATATGTTATTCTGGGAATAACTTTACAACACAGTGACCATGTATTTAAACTTCTTTATCACACACCCATAAACCTGTAACATAATTTGTGTTTTACTTATAGTTACTGTACTCAATATAAATCTGATAGTCTGTCTTCACTGGTGAGTCTGAATAACAAACTAAATTAACCTACCTCAATCTTGTCATCAAATTCGGATTTGTTGGAGATATATATATATTTTACATGTGAACCAAAAACAATCTTTGCTACCTTGGCTCCAGAAACAAGTCTTTTAATAAACACAGGACCTGCATTTTAGACATGAATGCTACATGTCAACATAAGTGGAAACGTTTGTTGTACCCGACAATGTAAAATACATACAACAGAAACATGAAAAAGGCTTACCAGAAAATGCTTCTGGATACTGTGAAGCTAATTTAGTTGTCATTACTCTTATTCTTTTAAAAATGCTGTCTAAATCTTTTTTCATTTCTAAGAGTAGTTGTGTGTGCTTTTTAAACTCTGTACCGGCTGATTTTAGCCGATTTACAGAAAGAGCATTGCAGTTGGTTAACATTTCATTTGTCTTTTCAAATCTCTGTAACCTGCAACAATGAAACTGCCCGTTATTATCAGCTATGAAATTATGCATACATAACCTTAAACGTAATCAGTTAGGTAAATCGTTAATTCACACTGCTTACATTTGCTTCTGTGCTCTAATCATAGCTTCTACATCTTGTTGGTCAACTATTCCAGCTAAACCTTGTATAAAAACCTCTGGTGCTGTATAATTTTGAAAACATTCTATACTTCCCAAATCACTCTCAGGAGTATTTTCAGCCATTTTGGGATTCCATCAGTGTTCCAACTTGACGAGTTTGAAATTTACAGTCAATCTATTAACGAAGGGAAATTCTCTTTAGAGTATTCTTTCCAATGGGACACTTTTGTTATTAGAAACAGATTTATATTCATTCATGCAAGTGTAAGTGGACGAAAGCAAACAAAACCACACGTGCAAACGACGTAGGGATTGTGTCAATCTACTGGCCTCATGGATATGTCGAAGGCCGAAAGAGTCACAGTTGCTATGGTAACGAGCGTACTATTCATATGATAAACATAGTGTAAGATACCGGATCTAATTCTGATATCTCTCCAGATGTAAAAACTGATACTTATAAAAATACACAGACACTTTTTGTTTGGTGAACTTTTATCATCTCTGTGCTAGAAAGAAGGCAATGTGTGTAATTGTAAGAGTAATACATTTATGTGGATACATATTCGCAGCAGATGGCCTTGCGATGCCAGTTATTGAATGGAGAATTTTACCATACACATTCCATTTGATTTAACAATCCGTCAAAACGTTTGTGAGATTTTTTGCAACATTTTTTTAAATTTAAAATTGGCAGTGCAGGTGACATCGATCACAAAAATGCCCTGTCAAAATTGCATCTGATGCTCGGGCTCTCCTTTTTTATCTCAGTTATTGCGTTATATTGCGCCACCCACCCTCCGTAGCTAACACTGCTGCGACACGGTACAAGCTTGCAAGGGTAGAGAAGGAACCACGAGCGTAACATTCCCCAGCTGTGACTATTCTGAATGTATGTATGTCTGTCTGTCTCAGTGTATGTATGCCGCGTACCGTTGTGCTTGTCTCTCTCGGTGCTGTAGCTCGCTTTCCATGTGGGCATCAGCTGCTACGAACCAACAGCTGTCCCGTAACAATCAGCGAAAGCGACGTTGCCAGACATGCCATAAACGTGTAATTTCAGGAAAATTAAATTGCTAGTCACCTCAATTGATTGCTATAAGACATAGCTACATTGATGTTCTCTCACGGTTCCTGTGGCCGGAAAAGTACTTGTTTGCACAGAGTAATGACAAAATGTAAAATCCGTGGTAAATTGTAGTTTGCAGCTTTTTAAAACATCTGGCAACGGACATATTGGTTCAGGAGTAGGAAATTTGCAGTATGTTTCTGTAAAATTGACACCGCTACTTTAATGAGGACGGGTAATTCATCATACCGGTACGTATCTGTAACACGGAAAATATGTGCATGGAATTCGGTTATTGTGGTTGTATTTAAAAATGTCTTGGTTATATGAGAGATAAGGAACCTTTGGCCTTAATGATAGTACACTTTCTCGGAATGTTCACATTCTGGGGGATGGGTTAGTATGACAAACATTTATTAAACATTATTTAATTCTGGCCGCAGAAACCCAGCAGGTACATTCACGAAAGGCAAGCTACAGCCTGTCCATACTGCCAGATTGCGATCGAGTGTCGCAACCGCTCTCAAAGCGCTTTTGATGGCTCTCAACCGCTGCGAGCTGTCACCCACACTCCTGACCCTATCAATTTGCAGGCTGCCTATGTTTTAGGCGCGCACTCCATCCATAGTTTAGATTACCAACCTGCCTTTACCATGCTGTGAGCTCGATGGAAGCAAAAATGACGTAAAAGTATGTGTTTGATAATTCTTTTTCATTACCTCCCCATTTCCATGCTGAAATGTTGGTCTTTGGGGTACACTCAATTTATATTTTGAACTGAGCGACTTCAGCATGTGTTACTTAGAGCAGAAAATGTTTGCGATAATGTGCGCCCTTATGGGAAACACGTGACATTTCCTTTTTAGAATTACTTGTACTGCTTTTGCTTTGCAGAGCGCATTCCATGCTTCATAATGGTATAGATGAACCGAAATATGAACGACATTTTAGCAGGAGTTGTAATTAATATATGCGGCATGTATTAAAGGATCAACTATAACTTCAGAATTAATCAACCCTCCAACACAGACTCTTAGAATCCATCTTTGGAGAAATGACTCATGTTTTATTCCGGGTTATAGTTTATAATAATAGAGTTAGCCTGAAAGTAACTGAATTAAAACAAAAACAATAATCTAAATCACAAAAAACATAATAAGATGTCGGAAATATTATTTAGTGTAACTGTAGAATTATATTAGTTCGTACAGCAGTGTACATGTAGTAATAGACAGACACATAGAATATCTAGGTCCAAGCCCTGGAATATTCTCTAGAAATCGTGAAAGGGTACTACTGGGCCAGGATACAGATTATCAAACCACATAGAGAAAACTTCTTGGATAACGACTAGTCGAAAGACCCAGAAGATTACAAAGACGTTACAATGGTCGAAAAATGGCATTTATTTGCCTAACCTTAGGACCACAAGAAGAATATTAAGTTAAACATTATAACTTATATTTAAAATATTAAAGAATTTTGTATCGAGACTTTAAAATAGGCCTTTTAGAATTATTTAAGTTCGAAAAGGATTCTTCCGAAGTGCGACCAGAATAAATTTTTGTAAGAGTAGAAGAAGATGGAATAAGTTGCACCCCTCGAGATTTGAGCAGATACCTGCGACGTAGGGGGCCCTGTAGGCAAGTGATGTGCTCATTCTCCATAAGATCAAAGATATTTCTCACGTGTTCGTTGCTTTTCACTGCTCCGCTGTTTGAAATATTATTACTTCGTTATTATTTTAGTTTACGTCAAATCGGAACAAGCACGATGTTTGCCGGTCTGCTAGTAACGTAGCACGTGACTTGTCAGGCTGCCGCATATGTCACAGGTATGCACGTAAATCTCGGTGCCGCTTTTGATTAGTGTGTCATCATTTGACCGCTACTGGGGCAGATCACTTCGTCCGGAAACAGAAGTTTGTGTCTAGCTATAGGTGCCTGTCTCCTGTCTCTCTCTTTCCAAACTTGAGCTTATTGTAGTGGTGATTTTTCAACTGCCACGACCAGTCTTCGGGACTTCATTCATTCATTCACTGAGTTTCTTGCGCCATGTCAATACATCTAGGAGTCACATCCAGACGTCACATTGCCCCTACTAACCGTTCCATATAAATACCATCTTCAGCTGCAAGTATGTCTCAAATTACAGACCCTTAAAATTGTTAACATTTTTTTTCAATATAATTAGTGTTGCATTTCTGTTGTTCTTGCAGGACAGCGATTTACGATGTGTAAAATGCTGGTTATTTGTTTGTATTTTTTTTCACGACGGCATATTAAATGGTGACGATGGTGAGATACAATGAACAAGACTATTATTCTGAATATTATAGATAATGGCTAGAATATAATTCGTCTTTATCCTTGAAATAGCTTTTAAATAAAATTTGTAATCTCTGTTTTCAACATCAGGCTTTGTTTGCTGCACTCCGTAAGTAGCCTGCATTTAACGCGGCATTAACATATGTAGAGACTTTGTGTATGTAGTTATTTAGCTATGCTGTGTCAATTAATTAGGTTATTTAGTGTCGTATCTCATCAGGGTGTCTAGCTTTGATGCTACGTTGTTCAAGGGTGACTTTGTCTTCTTCTGTCTGTTCTATCACAAATGTCTTTTTACAGTTCAATGTACAATTAAACTTTACGTTACTTTGTATTTCACTTCAGTGTCAACTGACAGTCGAAAATACAACGTAATGTCCAACTGCATATTCACAGTTAGCAGCTATCACTCTACCTAAGGAAATGACGTGGAATTGCTATGCCGGATAAAACCAAATCATGCATAGTTTTGCTGAACACACTGTCAGTTGCTGCAGTACAGCCTATTACAAACTAGCTGTCCATAGACTGTCAAATATTTAATTACGTTTTGAATTCTGAATTCTCGCGTTAAGGGCAGGACATATATTAAGAGCGTTTGAGAACTCTACACCTTGGAGAAAATTACCCAGTGAGGAGCTCCATAGATAATAGACATTGTGGTTTCATAAAATGCAGGTAATTTCTTTTCTAGCTCTGTTTACTAAACTTCTCAAAAAGGAGTCTACTTAATGAAGTTAGTAACTTTATTCGATGTCTGTATAACGCATAGTAAGAGTATGCGATTAAATATATCGATTATTTGGCACAGTTTTAAATGATCGATTATCGGAGGATACGTTGTTGGCATGACACTCTAATTTATTTTAAAACAAATAGATTTGCGGAAATATTTTTCTTCCTAGAGAATTACTAATTATATTGTATTTGGCAACGCAGCGAACAGGGAACACGTGCGCGCGCGCATGGCAGCAAACTTTGGCGGGCGGCTCTCACGAACAGTTGAAGGCACATCGTCTGCTTCACTCGTTGCGGTAGCTTCGGTGTGGCTTGTTGGGCGGGACTTATATTGCAAACAAAGTAGTCTGTCGCTTATCGTCAAACGTGGCAGTATAACCAGTAGTCGCAGTAATAGGTTTAGTTCATGTTGTCATTACATAGCGTGTGAACATAATCGTGATTGTTACGTAAATATTTACTGAAGAACATTTTCAGTTTGAAGAAATAACCATCTCCTGATTGAGTACTGGAACTGCCTCCGTTAACTAGCAAGGTAAGGGAAGTTTCCAATTAATTATTATGACAACTTTCAAACACGCAGATTATACAACACAGCATATATCAGCGCCATATTAAGTATATAGTTTTTGTTATTGTTGTCAACTGCATATATCAGCGCCATATTAAGTATATCGTTTTTGTGAATTTGTTATTGTTGTCAACTTGGGGGTAAACGTAGTTATAATAGATATTTATACCATGTATGTCAGTTGTCTAACTATACTCTAACCTCAACTCTCAAGTCAAATGCGCTCTGTAAAGTACTACATTGTTAGAGTATTGCGTTTGTTAAAATAATGTGTTTCCTGTTATGGAAGAAGGAAAATTCGAAAGTGAACCAGAGTAAATTCGCCATTTCTGTATGTTAATACCAGGATACAGACGTAACATAGACAGAGCGAGGTGGCACCAGACACTGTATGGGTTATAATAGTAAACACGTGGGAAGTTGTCAGGTTCCATTACACCCCGCGTACCTTCAAGGGAAATAGTGTTCATATAAAGCTTCAGGTCGTAGCCGTGTTGAAATTGTGCAAAGTAATTATGATGATCGAGCGGTCGAAGGTCATCGAACGTGTGGCCACTCTGATACTACGTGTGGACAGACATACTTTCACTCTATGAATTATTAATTTATCATGGAACGTGAGAAACGTTTTATTCTGCTCCGTACTGACAGTTTAAATCTACAATTTAAATGTATTGTCAAGCATGGAAGTTGGATGTATGTATTTTGTTCGACACCATTTCCATGCTTACCCATAGTTTCCATCGCGTAGGTCTCTGGTAGGTACCGTAAATTTACAAAAAAGAATCTTGGGCTACTTTTCGCAAATTGTTATCACCCGAATACAGTTCTTTTCGAGCTCATGCGATGTGAGGGTTCTTAACAAGGCTTGAATACAAGACATGAATGTCAAAACAAGTCTAAGAAATATAAATGTGTGGTGGTGATTAATAAGAATAATATGAGAATCTGTTGTCACAAATCGATCTACTTGGTAACATTTTAATAAGGATATGTTTCCATGCATCCATATAGTTCATCTATAATAAAATGTATCGATGGGGAACAGGCTAATATGGAGTAATAATGGTAAAACACAACTGGAATATTCCAATACAAGTTTAACTAGGAATTATCAAGGTGCGACTATGAACAAGGCAAATAAGTTTAAGTTTCCGTTAGGAATGGGATTAGTAATGGAAATAAATGTCCAGAAAACACGTCTGTGGCCCATGGCCGAAAGGGGCAGAGAAATTGGGTGACATTAAAATTCCTGTTTTCCCAACTCTTCCCCCTTTATGTCAGCTTCTGAAATAAAGAAAAGAAAACAACAATTTTGGCGGCAGTGTACGTGATACGTTTGTAACACTGCAAGTGTTCTTTGGAGACGGCAATAGGAAAGGTGACAAGAAACAGATGTCTTTTGCGGTGGTAGAAACGTGGGAAATGGTTGCTGTAAGGTGACCTTGGAGTTGTAGTTCTCTGTTTAACGGCGCATGGTGCCCGGTATGTGTTTTATTGTTAAGTGCTGAGTGCACCTGTTCTTCTTTAGACGGGCCGTAATGCAATTTCAGCGCCCTGTCTTGAAGGTCTAAATGCACTGGTATTTTTGCTCAAAATGTGACAGTAAAACATTTTTTGCATTTGCATTTATTTTCTACGTGTGCAGTTCTGTAGAATACGTGAAATGAAACTTCTGCTTTTATATTATTTCTTTTAAAGAAATTATTTTTGGTCTGTCTAGTTCTTATCTGCATTTTCTCATAGAAGTTGTATGGTTTGGGTTGAAAAAAAATCGATTTAAGAGTAACTACAAAGAAAATTCACTGTTTTTAACCGGATGATTAGGTTCTGACTAATATCTGTCGTGTGTAGTCTGTGACCTCTCTCTCTCTCGCAATAAATACATGAATAATACTTATCATTTAACGACTGTCGGGAAATAACAATATTTGCAGAACCGAAGTGTATAAATATATACAATCCATTTTTTTAATAAAATTCTGATAAAGTAAAAAAAAATGTAAACTGTAACTGAATAACAATATTTGCAGAACCGAAGTGTGTAAATATATACAATCAATTTTTTAATAAAATTCTGATATAGTAAAAAAAAAAATGTAAACTGTAACTAACGCAGTTTAATAAATTTTAAATACGTAGAACATCTAATTTCACACACACAGGAATTTTATTATTGCATTCGGTGTTTATCAAAAGCAGTGAATTGGTTTTACAATAACATTTCGATAATTTCTCGGAATACTGTCGGATGAGCTTATATTTTGAAGGAGGAAACAATAATACACATGTAATTTTGGTATGGAAACGTTTTGAAAGGCATCCACTTGAAAGACCGAGAAGAAAGGAAGAGGATATTGAAATAGTTCTTAAGAAAGTAAGTTACGAGGAAATGAACGGGTCCAGGATCGGATACTGCGTTGGTGATAACGTTGCTGAATTTCCTGCGTCTGTTACCGGGTGTCAAATAAATTGATACTGGCCCAAAAGTTTCTGATTTTCTTAACCCAGTTTAAGTGAAACATCAGTAGCAGGACTGTTATGTTATTGTAACTGACGTTTGAATCTTACGTATTGTTTTCACGTTTTTATAAGAAGGGTACTTAATTCATACACAAGCTAATTTTATTTGCTATAGGCTAAACTCTGTGAGGAGATTGCCTCTAACATTTATCTTTTATAATATTTTTTTTTTATTTTTTATGTTGGAACATTTATCTTTTATAATATTTTTTTTATTTTTTATGTTGATTATAACTTGGATGATGTTGAAATGTTGTTTGTCTTTGTTTATCTTATGTTTTAATTGTTTATTATTTTTGCCTAAATCGAGCCCCTGCTGTCAGTGCTGCAGGCAGTCTTTACTTGCTCAGATGTCACTTCTTCTGGTTTAATGTCTGAAAATTAACAGCAGCACTTGACACTCAGCCGATTGAGAAATGTCCTGCTGTTATAGAACCTGAAGGTTCTTCACTGGCATAACCAAATCCCGTCTTAAATTTCTACCCTGAAGAAGTTCGTATCACCACACAGTACTCTCGTAACATTTCATTTTAATGGGATCTTGCTATATATGTCTTTGTCTCCCGACCGATTTCCTCCCACGAGATTTTGCAGTCAGAGTTTGGTGTCGCCCCCTTGCATTTTAAATGTCTGACTCATCACCGTAACATTACATTGAGTGTATAAATTATAAAGCTTATCAGAGTGTATTTTTTCTCATTTCCCGTTCGAGTAAACGACCTCCTTCGAAATATGCTATTTCCTTGTTGGCGCAGGCTTCCTAGAACCCGTGATTTTGATGCCAGAGGGATTGTGTTGTTACGAAACAACCCGCGAACCAACGAAGCATATTTTTCGAAAATGTCCAAATCTCAAGCCGGACCAGTGGATTTTGCAGTATAACAATTCGTCTTCCCACACAGGACTTTGGGTAAAGCAGTTTTTGCTTAAAAATGCCAGTTGCTTTCCGTATTGAATTTTTAATTCTATGTAACTGAAAATCTTCAAAGAATCTCATTTTGAATTGCTCGAAGGCGTTGGGATCAATATGACAATACACGTTCGTAAAATGACTACCAGGCATTGCAGAAACTTGAGAATTCTTGTGTGTATTTTGAAGGTGGCCGTAATCACTAAAGGTTGCAGACAATATATTTATTTTACAGAATCAGGCTCGGTCATCTATTTAGTTTCCAGACCACATTTGCTGTTCATCGTCATTATCAACAGTTTTTCTTCAGTCCTTGAAGGACCTTGGCCTCCTCACAAATGGGAGGTTTCTAAATATTTTTCGACATCGGTTAGGATTCCTTGGACGAGTGACCAGCTCGTCGCAAGGCCACTACCTGTACAGGAGAGCACAACGCAGCAAGACGGGGGCAGTGATTGGGATTCGAACCCACGATTTCAGCCTCCGAGTGATGAAGGGCCAAGCGGCCACTGTGACCGGGCGGTTTTCCACAGTACCTTCCGGCAAATGCAAGGATAGTGCCTTAAATAAGATCATGCTTACTTCCGTTGTTATTATTCCTAATGAACAATTTTATCACTCGACTGTATAGTCTTAGCTATTGGAAACGTCGTTAAATACATCATAAATAAACAAAATAGTAATAATAAAATCTATTAAGTACGAAGATGTCTGTATAGATCGTAAAGAAATGAAACTGATTCATGGATTACTATTATAGCGTCTTACACTTTGTCACTTTCGGGGTGTTCGAACTAGCGGTCCACCGATCCACTGGGCGAAACCGTACTGCATTGATGTCAAGTTTTTGCTCCGACTTACCCTTATCAGGGATTAGAGCCCTGCCTTGTATCTGCGTGTGAAAGTAACCAGCCCATGCGCGGAACTGTACGAAACTGTAACATTCAATCACTAATGTTTGTTACATCGTCTGAAGACAGGTTGTTCAACGACGTTATATCAGCTGCAGAGATTTTGTAGCCTTTAATGAGATGCAAGCGTGGTTATAAATAGTGAATTTGAAGGCGTAATGGGAAAGCGATCCTGACCAGGAGTAACTGGGGAAAATCATGTGGAAATTTAATAGCCGATGCCTCTAATGGATCTCATAACGCCTACTTTTCTGTTGCACAGACTTTGTGTTCCTCAGACAGTACGCAATGCCTTCCATGGATGATGTGTAATGAGTCAACCACTGTGAAAAGTATTTACAGAATTTTACGTGAAAGCCAGTTACCAACAGGCGGGATAAATGCAAAATCCTGAAACGTCGTATTGGGACAGCTTAGATAATAATCGGTAGTGTCCAACATAATGGCTTTCTTCTGGGTTGTTGCACTGTTCTTTCTGGAATAAGTTTGCCGACGTTTCAGAGGTGCTTGCTGTCTTCGTCATCGCCCTGATGTTGGAGGGAGAAAGGACCTCTGAAACATCTACAGCCTTCTACCAAACTAAACGGCGTAACAACCCAGAAGACCTCCGGTGCTCAGGA